TTATATGCTGATGGTATGATAAAATATTAAATTCGTTAATCGGAAAGCATGTGTTACATTATATTAATTGATAAATTACCTACGATCTGCGGTGTAAAAAAGGTTTTTAAAAAGCCACCAATTAAATTAATAATAAATTGTATACTCACGTGTTTCTGGTTCAGACGGTTTGAATGAAATGATTTTAAAGTCGGAAGTCGGCGCAGTCCTTGGTCTTAGAACGGCAACAATAACAAGAGTCAAGGCAGGTAACCCATGCGGGAAACGATATCGCACGGCCGATTAATTAATTTATTGTATTGACAAATTAATTATCTTATAGTTTTATATTATTCATTCGAACACGGCATTAAACCTTACACTTTTGGCCATCGTTCTTATTTCATTTTTGCAAATTTTTTTCATATGGTCATAATAATGCCTTAGGACCATCACTCGATTTTATTGATACACACGCAAAAATGGTTTTCAAACATTCCCGCCTTCGACAGAATACCGCCAAACCTGTAGGCCTTATCACCGACCGTTTATCGTCTATCCACTCGGTATCAGCGGATAACTTCCCGCCTATTATGTGATACGAGAGACATTGGGTCCGACATCATGTCGGTGCGGGGAAACGTTTCCGTGTTTTTCGGAGGACCATTGGGAAACGAAATCCCAATCAGCTGACCGAGTTTCTAAATCGCTCTACTACTATAAACGAAAAAACTATTAAACGTGGCCGCCCGACTTGCTAGACACTCAACAAATCACGGGGAATATATTACGACTAGCACGGGCGCCCGAAATGTTATTATTTATATATATTTGATTTACGTCATTTGGCGTTTTCATGCCTTGACCCGGACGTCGCACTATCCGACGAAGTCAGATTGCCTACCAGGGTTACTACGTCCAACGTCGAGGAAGGTGACTGAACCTCTAGACACCAAGACATATACCATTTATTTTGCACGTGACCTATTACTTAATTTTGCGTCAGAAGTCACACGTTGTCCGCTATCCGACGCTAGACCCTAGATCCCCTGCTAGACCCCAAAACATATTTTCGAGTAATTACGTCGAGGAAGGGGACTCGGTAGTCGGATTGCTTACGAAATGTTTTGAATTTTCATTACTTCATTGATTTGGTGTCTTTAATGGACGCTGTCCCGGCCGCACGTTGCCTACCCGGATAACATAGATGAATGACCTGCTAGACACCAAAATCAGACGGTGGCTATATGATTTGCACGGACGCCCGAAATATTTTGAATTTTCTTCACGAAATGTATTCTTTAATTTTGCGTTTTCGGTAACAGTAATGAACGTCGTCCGCGATTCGACGCAGTCGGATCGCATACGTGATGACGTGCTCCAGCCGTCGAATATTGTCGGATTGCCTTCCAGGGTGACTACGACCAAAGTCGAGAAACATGACTGACCAGCTAGACCCAAAATACTATAACTACGCCGAACGTCATTCGAGGTGACTGACCGGCAAGACACCCACAAAAATACAACGACTATATTATTTTTTATATATTTTACTATATTAGATTTTCATAATCATCTGTAGGTTCAGGGTTATGATTCATGTCCTATGTGTAGTAACACCCAAACAAGAAGCCGGCTATAAAACTCGGCCGTCGCACATTGTCGGATATCCTAGCCGTATTACTAAGGAGGACGTCGCTTCAGCTATATGATTTCTTTACGGGATTTTGAATTTCCGGCGGCATTTAAGAACGTTGTCGGCTAACATTGTTGCTTATACGGGCTACCACGTCGAACCGCGGTGATCCTAACCCTTATCACACACGGACCGGCTCGAGAACAACGACCAGATCAGATATTTAGTTAATTTTGCGTTTTCGGTGACAGTAATGAACGGTGTCCGCGATTCGACGCAGTCGGATCGCATACCTGATGACGTGACCCGCGGCCGTCACACATTGTCCGCTATTACTACGGCGAACATCATTTCGAGGTGACTGACCTGCTAGACACCCACGAAAATACGACCAACTTCGAGGAGGTGACTGACCTGCTAGACCCCAAAAGATATATTCACGTAAATTATATAGCTGATGTACCGGTTCGTGTACCGGTCGTCACGTTGTCTACCCGGGTGACTACGTCCAACATCGAGTCGGAATGCCTACCTGGATAACATAGATGTGTGACCTGCTAGACACCAAAACAACAGACGGTTGCTATAATACTTTTATGGACGCCAGAAATATTTTGAATTTTCTTCACGTAATTTATTCTTTAATTTTGCTTTTTCGGTAACAGTAATGAACGTCGTCCGCGATTCGACGCAGTCGGATAGCATACGTGATGACGTGCCCCAGCGGTCGTATATTGTCGGATTGGCTTTAAGGGTGACTACGACCAAAGTCGAGGAACGTGACTGACCTGCTATACCCTCAAAAAATCGCAGCGGCTATGGGATATTTGAATTTTTTTACGTGATTAACATAAGTAAATAATTTTGACAGCTATCCGGTTAACTTATCCACTGGTAACCTAATCCACCATCTAACATCCACCAATATAACATCCTTATCACAAATCCACTATCCTTATCACTAATCCACTATCCTTATCACAAATCTAATATCCTTATCACTACTTTTTTATCACAAAACCACTATCCTTATCATAAATCCAATATCATTATCACTATTTTTTATCACAAATCCAATGTCTTTATCACCAGATCTCCACATCACCCATACACCGCGTCGGCTGAGATCCACGAGCACACCACGAGACCACCGCTGCTTCCGAAATCGACAACACTCGGGGCCCGGTCACGGGGGTCTGTGGGTGTCCCCCAGCGACGCTCGGAGAGCTAGTATACTATATAAAGCGTGAACCCGAAGGCGCCCCCTATGTGTTAAATCTCAACTGCCATAGTGAACAATGGCGGGAAAACGCGGCGGCGGAGCCGTCGCTGCGTTAACACTCCTCCTTATCGCTTTTCGCGGTTTCGATTTTTTTTTTCAAAATGTTCGAGTTTAACCCAATCCGCGGGCCTCGGAAGGTCCCGTTTTTACCTTATTCGCGTTCCCCGCTAAATTTACTATTACGAGTACGCAGTACTTTTTTCCCGGCGGGCCCGGGGCGGCGGATGTCGCGTGCGAACGAGCGCCTCCGTCGCGCGCGTTTTTTGCATTTTTTTTTCGAAAATTCGAGTTTTAGGCGTTTTTGGGCGTATCGCCCTCCTCGTTTGGATCTCATTCGCGTTCCCCGCTAAATTTATAGTCTGCGCCCGGCCCTACTTTTTCTAAAATGAGTCCCGGGGAGAAGCGGCGTCGCTTAAACGAGAGTAGGTACCGATATATACAGGCATAAATACATGCGTCTCGAAGTTAACGCGGCTTAAGGGTCATAGATTTGACTCCGTTTTTCATCTCAGTAGGTGGCCAGGTAGGTTAGGCGTTAGAGCAGGTGACACGAGGGTCGTGGTTTCGAACCAGGCCGCCGGGATTTTTGATAATTTTTCCGTCATAAAAGTATGATTAACGGAAATGTTCCGTTTTTTTCAAAATTCGAGTTTTACCGCCCTTACGCACTTCGTTAGGATTTCGCCCGTTATTCCTGTAATAGATTTATATTTTACGCGATTTTTAATATATTAACGTTTGTTTAGTGTCTTATTATATCCATTAATATATATTTATTACATTTTCAATGATGTGTAGGTACTGCGTTATGACTTATGATTCATGTCCTGTGTTCACACATGTTATATTATAGGTATATAGGTATTGTGTTATTGTGTAGGTATGTGTTTAATGTTTATGCATGCGTGTGTAATATTACGATTTAGGAGCGACACTACGCGCGATACTCTCTACGTACGATCGTTATTATAAATACGTCGTGAAGGTTCGACGCGGTATTCCACGCACCAACATGATGTTAGACCCGTGGTTACCAATATTATGATAACGGTTCCAAGACTATGGTGGGATACAGTACGCGGGGTCGGCTTACACTCGATCTTAGGTGGAGTGGAGCCGCGGGGGGACAACTTTGGCGACGCGAAACGCACAACCTGCGTCCTGCCTCAACTCGTGACCGGCGCCCTTGCAACGCACATCAACCCGGAAAAGCCCAATACAGCTATATGTTGTATTATATTATATTATTATAATATTCGGTGCTTTTCTGGGAGTTTTTGCTTTTTGCATTGGGCGCTTTTCACATACCGTTGAGTACGACTTTTATATCTCCTACAATAATAATAATATAATATATTAAGATAAACTACAGGTGTATTCATGGCAGCGTGTATCGCGAACGAACATATTTTCACCACGTTTTTCGTCATTCGTTTTCCGCGCGTTTCGTGTTTTTTCGTACACCGCAAAATGTACTTTGAATACCTATAACGTTTTTTGTATCCGCATTCGTATTAGCTGTGAGAGGTGTAGACGCGTAAGTCCGTTGGCCGTTTCGGCGCGTCACCACGTGTTTTATCGCTTGGAATTTTGCGTTAATAAAAAGCTGGGTACCTGTAATTTTTCGTATTTTTCTATTTTGTATGTATATCACGTAAGCCGGTGTGTAGGGGAGACTGGGTACGATTGTAACACGGGACAATTGTAACACTGGCTATAACTTGTTCCATAACTAATACAAAAATGTCAAATAAATACGACAGTTGTCCCACTGCGTAATGATTATTATCTCCTAATCAAACTGCTGATATCATATTTATTTTACAAACAAAATAACAAAAAGTGATTATGACAACGAAAAGTAAAAAAAAACAAACATTTTATTTTGTTTACCAATGACTAAGTTTTATCATTATTTTTATTTTTGTACGTTACGTGAAAAGAGAATATTCTTCTCTTCAAATTAGTGTTGATGAAGAACTCTGTCTAGTAAGTATTTTCTTTAAATATTTGATACAATTCAAAAAAATTGAATGGGGACAAATGTAACATTTAATTTGATTTGAAACTTCATTAATGTACCTACTTATTTATAACACAGGTATGCCGCGAACACGAGAAAAGACCTCAAACCGAGGAAATGACCCAGATTTAATGAGAAGAGCTGCAGATATGTGCATTAATGAAGGAAAATCTGAGAGATCAGTTGGGGAAAACCTAGGTATATGTCACGTTAGTTTGAACCGTTACATAAAAAAGGTAAGAGCTACTGAGTTTGGTGGTTCTCCTCCAAAATGTGGTTATAGACCACACACTAGAATATTTGATGTAGACCAAGAAATAATGTTGGCTACTTATTTAAAAAACTGTGCTGATATGTATTTCGGCTTAAGCACTAAAGATGTCAGAAAACTAGCATTTGAATTTGCTAAAAAAATGAATTTGAAAATGCCAGCTTACTGGACTGAGAACGAATTTGCTGGTATTGATTGGTTTCTTAATTTTATTAAGCGTAATCCTACCTTGTCTATTCGTCAGCCAGAGGCAACTAGTTTATCTAGAAGTATGAACTTTAATCCGATTAACGTAAACATTTTTATGGACAAATATGAATCAGTGATTACTAAACATAAATTCGAGGCATTTCAGATTTTTAATCTAGATGAGACTGGTATAACCACGGTACAAAATCCATGTAAAATAGTAGCACAGAAAGGTAAAAAACAAATTGGTGCCATAACGTCTGCGGAACGTGGAACTTTGGTCACCATGTGTTTAGCTGTTAGTGCGGTTGGAAATGCCATTCCACCAATGTTTATTTTTCCTAGGGTCAATTTTAAGGATCATTTTATTAGAGGAGGACCTCCAGGATGTATAGGGACCTCAAATAAATCTGGATGGATGCAGGGAGAAGAATTTTTGAAATTTATCACACATTTCACAAATCATGTGCGACCTACAATTGAAAAAAAAGTACTCATTTTATTGGACAATCATGAGTCACATTTGTACTTGCCAGTCATTGATTTTTGTAGAGCAAATGGTATTGTTTTGTTATCCTTTCCACCACACTGTTCGCACAAATTGCAGCCATTGGACAGATCTGTATTTGGGCCTTTTAAAAAATGTATAAATCAAGAAATGGATTCATGGCTAAAAAGTAATCCAGGGAAACGGTTTACCATTTATGATTTGCCTGCTGTAACTACTAATGCTATTTTAAATGCAGCTACACCTAGGAACATAACCAGTGGATTTGCTGTATCTGGTGTGTGGCCTTTTAATAGAAATGCATTTAGTATAGATGAATTTGCACCAGCAGTTGTGACGGATATAATGTTACATACCACAGAAAACAACAATGAAACACAAAGTATAAATACAGAGATACCTAGTATCAATACTATAACACAAACACCTAGTATCAATGTAGAAATAGCAGAACAACGTTTATCTGATAAGATTTCTCCTGAAATGGTTAGACCTTATCCCAAAGTACAAATACATCAAAAAATAGGAAAAAAAGGTGGTAGGAAAAAAGGCAAAACAGCAATACTAACTGATACACCTGAAAAAAATGAACTAGAAAATAAAGCAAAGAAGAAAAATGAAAATATTAAAAGGAAACTATTCAATACTGACAAAAAAAGTAAAAAGGTAAAAGCCACAGCAATTAAAAAACAAAAAAATAAAAATAAGACTTTAGTTATTGATAGTGATGATGATGAAGATGCTTTTTGTACAATTTGTTCTGAATTATATTCTGACAGTAAGAGTGGAGAACCGTGGATCCAATGCGTGAGGTGTAAATTATGGTCTCATGAAGCTTGTACTCCACAGAACTATACAGCTTACTATATTTGTGATAACTGTGAGGCTGATAATTAGGTAGGTTATAATAATGGTGATATTTTTTTAATGGTTTTATTTTATGGCACTCACTGATATGTATTTACTTTGTTTCTAATTTTGTTATTAATATACAATTTACATGATTTAATTGTTAAAAAGGTTATTAGTACCTAAACTGTTATATTTTATATAATGTATAATTTGGTTTTTTTTTTTTATTATAATAAAGCTATGTGCTCAAAATTTATGAAAATGTTATTAATTTGTTAAAAAGGTTAAAAGTATACTGTTATTTATATAGTGTATGATTTTGTTTTTATGTTTATAATTACCTATATGCATTTTTTTATTTTATTTGTTAAAAAGATTTAAATAATTTAACCAAGTTTGTATATTGTAAAAAACTTCACAATTTATCTACTCATTTTGATGTGATATAATATTAATATTTATTACAATTTATATGAATTTTATTAATTTTAAAAAGGTAAAGGCATACTATTTAATTTTATAAGCATTAATCATAATTTGTTTTTTTTTTGTTTATTTTTATTATTTGATTTCTTGAAAAGAATTGAACAATTATAGAATGATATAATAAATTCATAAACATGCGTTACATTTGTCCCTGATGCTGTTACTATTGTCCCCAGTATGGGTACAATTGTAACATTTTTTTTTTTTTTTTTAACTCTTATTTATTCAACAACTAGTGACATTTGAAACTAATTATTCATATATTTATAAAGGCAACATGTTACTTAACCCATTAAAAGTGTTGTCAGACCAAAAACGTTTGAAACCTGTTTGAAATAAATCATTTTATGAAAATTGTTACAATTGTACCCAGTCTCCCCTACCTATTATTTCTAAAAATGACACACGAGTCGCCAAGTGTCTTACATCACCGCTGATAATGAACTGACACCGTCGTCCGTCATTATAATATTCGATTCATATCGAATATTCGAGTTTTTCATATTATTTAGTATTTACTTTTTACTTATTATTATACTTATAATATAGACTATTCAAAATGGTCAAACGCTGCGTCATCTGCGGAATCGTGGACAACATTGATGGCGTTTCAGTACACGGGTATTTACAATTATTTTACACATCACGTTGATGCATAGCAATGTAATAAAATCAATAATATGTCACCTTTAGATTTCCAACAATCGACGTGCGTCGTGATGAGTGGATGGCATTTGTGGTGGACAGCGGTTTTCCTGTGACCGTCAGATCGAAGCTGTGTTCGAGGCATTTCGTTCCGGGTGTTGACTACACTGCAGGAAATGCACAACGCCGACGTATGCGGCACACGGCAGTGCCGTCTTTGGTGAGTGTAGAAATCATAATATGTTCAATAAATAATGTTCAAGTAAACCGTGACAGTTACACTTTTTCACTAATACTTTTGTGTACTCTCGTGAGCTTAATGTATCTACTGTGTATGTTTAGCAACCTAACTTAATTTAATAACTCAACTCAATGACATTCAACGTTTTTGTTGCAACATAATACATATAAGGTCACAAAAAGTACCTACTGTTTAATACACGATATCAAGTGATATCATCATGATATTACAATGATATACAACACATTTTACAATATGGGAATTACTTAATATAGTGTTTTTTTAGATAGTACAGCCCACTTTTTAATTATCATTCGACAAAAATGTCTGCAGTGCTAATTTAATTTAATTTGTTTACTTTTATTCCATAGTATGTAATTATCAAAGAATAATGTAACCTACGGTTTAAATTCCTTACATGCTTCATTATTCACTGTGCTCTTAGATACATATTATATACATTGTTTCTGGACTTATACTCTTTTATACTACTATCGAAGAGTCTCGCTAGAGACTCCTTTCTGTGCATAGTAACACCGATAACAAACAGCACCCGGACAACCGATAGCGAGACTATTATACATTAAGTTTCGTTTCGGTGCTCGGACCTCTCACTCGCACGCGTTGGTTGAATGCAGAGTGCGAGAGAGACAGAGCTAAAAACTGCAATTTTGTGAGTCTTTTTCTTTCGTCCGTCATAGCAACGTCACGGCCGCCCAAACTTCCCCTTCCAACGCCGCGCCGTAGCAACCGCCACACGCCGGCCGCTACCGTACCAACATCACACAATACAACAGCTAGCTAGTGTTCTATTCTATTCTATTCTATTCTATGTCTATTCTATTCTATTCACTCTGCGGACGCCGTGGAACATACTACGATTTGTAAATTTTGCTAAATTTTCCTATGTAAATATGTACCTATTATTACTATTTTAATACTATAATAATAATTATTATTATTAAATAATTGTATTATTAATATATATTTATAATTAATAATTATATATTATATTATATAATTATATTATATATTACGATATTATATAATTATAAACATTTATATTTTATTTTGACAATTGTGAGCTGTTTCCTGTTTAGTAGTGTTTTTAAATCTATAACCTAACCTTCATCTTGCCAACATATTTATAACTGAGGTAATTACTCAGTTTCCTGCTAAAAAAAATAGCCGAACAGTGTATGGAACCCACACATCTCAAAAGGCGAGAAATCTGTGCAGATTTTCAAGCAGAAAACGCCGAAAAAGTGAGACAAGACAATGCGCTCAAGAATAAAAAAAGGCGAAAAGCTTATGCTAAGTTCAAATTCGATAACAACGAAAAACTTCATCAACAGCTGGTGCTCAAAAATAAAAAAAGACGAGAAGCATATGCAACTGAAAAAATGTCTAACCATTTACAGTTGAAAATTGTTCAATTTCAAAACTTAATAATTAGACAAGTTTTGAATTATGAATTTTGCCCCATTCATCAAATTTTGCAGCCACACAGCAGTAATTTGCAAGCATTAGACGAAAGTAAAAGTAGAGTAGAATTTTTACTGATATCGCGAACTTCAAACTTCTGGCACTGGGTATGCGTTTTTTACAACCTACAATCTATATTTATTTACGACCCACTCAACAGACCTGATACATATGATAAAAGTATTGGTTTATTACGATTATTATTTCCTAAACATACGGGGAACCAGAAAATTATACATTGCCCTTACGTGGAATGCGATCCCTCGAAAGATTCGGCCCTTAATGCGATTTCTATTGCCACGAGTTTATTTTACAATTTCAAGCCTGACAAAATTTTATACAAACAAGGCCTCGAAAAACATTTCGATCATATGCTAGAGAACAAAGTTATAAAACATTTCCCGTTTGAATTTAAAAAGTTGAATGATCCATCAATTTACCATTTTGATGAAAGTCTTATTACCACCGGCGATTGGTTGAACGACGATCATATGTACTGTGTTAATTATCTGGTGCGGAAATTTACATTTTATGAACCAGTTGATACCGTCGTAATACAAAGCCCAGAACAGTACAAAAATATTACGGTTGCACGAGAATCTAAACATTTCCAAATCTTGCACGGCTCAAATCACTGGATATGTTATAAATACGAAAACAACAATATATCTTTATATGATTCAAAATTCAACGGCAACTTGAATGAGCTACAAGAGAAGTTCCTTCCTTGTAAAGTTCTTTACATCCTTCGTGTTATATAGAACAATATAATCCGAACGTTACCTGTCCGTCTGTACAACAACAACTTAATAGCGATGATTGTGGAGTTTTCGCCATCGCATTTCAAGTTAGTCTTATATTCGGATATGATCCGCAGCACCTATTCTATGAAAGATCTCAAATGAGAAAACATCTACTAAACATACTTAGAACCAAGACCTTAGAAAATTTATCATCAATTTATAAACAACAAGAAATCGCCTTTAACATTCATGCGTATGAGTGCTGTCAATTACAATCACAACAGCCGGCTAATGAAGACCATGAACATGTCCACGTCGATCAGATAAATGGCGAACAGCAGACTGGTCTCAAAGATGCAGACTATTTTGAAATCACTAAAGAAAAAAACACCAACAAGAAAAATAAGAAAAAAATCGTCTACTACGACTACCAGAAAGAAGTATTCATGCAACACAAATACGTTCAAATAGTATTAGTAAGTTACACAATTTACATGACGATCAGCCTGATCATGAAAACAATCGATTGAAATCTCAGAAGATAATCAAGTGGGTATTTTACAATAAAAAAAAAACAATCAATCAACTTAAGTGGACGTTTCAAGTGAAATGTAAAAACATCGTTACAGTTGCTTTGGAAAAATCGCAACTCATTCCTAAATCAAACGTTGAAACATATGTTGAGGCACTCTGCGGAAAAAGTCTTCATACGCATAACAGTCAGCCTTTCTTTAACGAAATTGGATTGAATGCAGAGCACATGGAGGTTGAGGATAATTTGGTGACTGATGAACCAATGCAACTTGATCTTCAAGTACCGAAACAACTTCCAGCAAACTCGTTTAATCAACCGTCTGTGAATAATTTTAATAAAAACAAAATTGTAGGTAAACAATTTCCATGTAATGATACCTTGCGGAAAAAAAATACGACCCCTTCATTTCAAATGGTTTAGAAAATTGTTATTTGCGCATATATGAAAGTACGTTGGGAACGTTGTCTGATTTCTTGGACGAACTATTCACCTGCACTAATCCAAACCGTGACGAGAGAAACGGCCATTCTAAAGAATGTTATTTAAATGAATTTCAATGTGGTGCAAGAATATTGCGATTGCTTAAATTGTCAAGCCATTTTCCGGAACTTAGAAATATTAAGCGTCAGTTGTACGAGATTCGGCGACTATACATACATCTGTCGAGGGTTGACGAAGCTCTTGAACAAGGTGACGTAGCCTTTTTAAAAAAATTGGCGGAAGACACTCAAGCAAAAGCCATTTCATTTCCCAGCGATGCAGTACATTCCGATCTTGCGGAAGATAAACTGACTGAAGACTTTAAAAAAACTATCGAACTTTTCGAAAAAAGAGCTTCTGATTTGCCGAAATATTCGTGCTGCTCGTGCGAAACATTGTGCTTCAAGCGTAACGTTAACGCAATTGAAAAACAAAAAACGAATATCATCGAAAAACAAATTTGGAAGGATCTTCAAATATTAGTACCGGAAAACGACCGTAAATGGATATGCAACTATTGCTATGGAAAAATAAATGACGACATAATGCCTTCAACGTGTATTCTGAATAAAATGTTCACCCATCAGGTACCGCCAGAAATAAGCTGCTTAAATGAGTACGAAAAATTGCTGGTGCAGCGTGCAAAATGTTTCCAAAAAATTACGTCTACCAAAACCGTAATAAATAAAAATTTACCATTCAAGGAACAAATGAAGAAAGCTTCTGGAACAGCTTATCACTTGCCACTACCTATTGAACAAACTTTCAAGAAGTTATGTAAGGAAACGGATGTTTTAAATCTCAATCACGAGTTGTACATTCTAGTCAGATCAATCCCAAATGGTTCGAAATACATTTGGCAAAATCTGGTAGACGTTCACAAGGTATGGAAAGCGTTGTTATGGTATAAAAACAATAATCCTTTATATTCTTTGATTGAACTCCCAGAGTCTTCGGATGGAATCGCACAAATTCTGGAACACATGCCGCAAACCGAGTTCCAAGATAAAAACAATGCTGAACAAAAAAGTGAAGATGTCACAAGCAAGCCAAGTAACAACCTAGATCGTGCGCCGAACGACACAGGTGAGCAAACTACCCATGATAATGCTATTCTAACATGTGCAAGCCAATCGGACACCATGTATGAACAATACACGGTATTTCCGATTCAATCAATTCGTACCATGGATTCGGCCACCAAATTGTATCAACAAAAGAAAGTTCACGATACTCCTGGGTGTTTGTAGGCCTTGGTATGAAAAAAAATTGGATATGTTGTGTTTTCCAGATATTTATCCGAAAGGTGAAAATGGAATACACGAAGACAGATCCCAATCTATTCGTGATTGCGATTACATAAAAGCGAGAGTTACATCTAAACACCCGAGATATAGAAGAAATTCACAGCATCTGTTTCATATGATGAATAACGCTACCATGCGTCAAGTAAATGGTGGAGTTGATCAGACGCTAAACTTAACTAAAGGTAACCAAAAGTTTACAAAATAAATCTATCTTCAAAAGGTAGCAAACGGAGATTTTGATGATGGAGAAAATCAGATGAACAACGTCTTTAGCAGAGTGAGAAATACCAAAGAATATTGGAAAAAACCTACGTGTGATTTGAACGCCATGATTAAAGAATATGGACCAGCTACTTGGTTCGTTACCTTCAGTCCTGGCGAGTGGAATGACCCAGAACTGATTCAATACATTAGAGATATCAACCTTGATATTAATACGTCAAAAATGAACGTCAATGAGATACTCGCTTTAGATCCAGTATCAGTCACTAGGTATTTGGATAATCAGTTCGAGGCCATATTGAAGTGTATTTATTCTGATGATAATCCGCTCGGTGAAAAGTGTTTACACCACTTTTGGAGACGTGAATATCAACAGAGAGGAATGTGTCATTTCCATATGCTAGTTTGGATTGAAGGTGCTCCCATGCTCGGTGCTTCATCTGAGGAAGAAATAGCCCAGTTTATTATGAGGGTAGCCTCATGTGCATTACCTGATAAAAATGCATCACCCACGCTTTACGACCGCGTTACACGATTTCAACGCCATAAGCACAATTCATACTGTATGAGAAACAAGAAAACTGAAAGGGGTTTCATGAAAGTTTGTCGTTTTGGGTTCGACAGGCCAGTTACGGAAGAGTTTGTTTTGAGAAACGTTCAAACTTCTATTGTTGGCAGACGAAACTTAAAAACAAAAACTAGGCTTTATGATCTGCCACGCAAACCGACTGAATCAAATAATAATGATTACGTTCCCATACTTATTATGTTGTGGAATGGAAACATGGATATTCAATTTGTGGGCGATCATTCGACGGCATTGGTTACTTATATCCTCAAATATATCTTAAAAAGTGAGAAAGCACTGGAACAGAATATTTTGGAACGTGCTCTTACTAATGAGAGTCTTACCAAAAAGCTGTGGAGCTTTGCTATGAGAACGCTCTACAACCGAGAATGTGGTGTAATTGAAGCAGCAGATGTATGCTTGATGAATTCGTTATACGGCACTGATAATGACACAGTTATAAAGTGGCTTAATGTTTTTATGATATGGAATAAAAGAGTTCTTCCAATAAATCAAATACAAAAACTTCAAAAAGGATCGGAAGACGTATTTTACAGATCATTTATTGATGATATTTATCCCAATAGACCGATCGCGTTAACCGACATGTGCCTATATGAATTCACACAGTGGTACGAATTGAAACCTGAAAAACCCAAAAGAGAAACCAGAGAATTTCATGAAATTAAAAGTAGTTTCGCTAATAAAACTGTAACAAAATATTTAGTTTAGCGAGCAAAACCATACGTTATCAGTCATTACATCTTCAAAGTAAAAATACAGCCGGAGAACTTTTATTATTCTTTACTATTGTTGAAACAGCCATGGAGGTCGACTGACGAACTTTTAAATGGTTGTGAGACGTATCAGGCTTCCTTCATGATAAAAAAAGGTGATTTACCTGATGCGGTTTCGTATTTCGAAAAAATAACTAACCGAGAGATAATGCTGGAACAAATGGCTCAAAATATTGAAGATGAAGAACAGCAACAGAAAAACCCACAAGAAAAAAATAACGACATTTTTGAGGATTTAGGTTGTGTGCCCGAAGAAGTCGAGAATGCCGTGGATGATTTTCAGGGATACAAAAAACAGGAAGAAGAAGATAATTTTGACTGGCAAAAAGGAGTAGAATCCATGAATGAGGATCAACGAAGGGTCTTCGATTCAGTCTTCCAATTAGTCAAGGATGGTAACAAAATATGCAGAAAGTTCATTACTGGCGAAGCTGGCACGGGAAAAAGTTACGTCATAAAATGTTTAGTTCAAGCTATTCGTCAGGAACTCAAAAAAGATGTCGCCATTCTGGCCCCAACGGGCATAGCTGCTTTTAATGTAGGAGGTTTAACCATGCACCGATTGTTGCAACTACCCGTTGAACATAAAAGAGGCACGCCTAAATACTCTACACTTTCTGATACAGCGCTAGACGCAATTAGAAAAACCCTTAAAAATGTAGTTTTGGTGATTGTCGATGAAATATCTATGGTCTCAAATGTCAATTTTTTGTACATGCACTTGAGATTAGTTGAAATATTCAATACATTTGACGACGAAGATGGCTGGTTCGGAAAAATGCATTTGTTGGTTTTTGGCGATTTACTGCAACTGCCACCTGTCAGTGATGGTCCCGTTTTCGTGCCTGTTCCAACCGAAACTTTAAATAAATGTGTACAGTTCGTTGCTCCAGTACATTTGTGGTCTCTACTGGATTACGATGAATTACGAATAAATATGCGTCAAAAAGATGATGACACTTACAAAACAATTCTTGCCAATTTGCGAGTAGGCACTGTTGAAATATACAATTAATATTAGTATTCAAACCATGTAAACACACGTGCGTGTACAATGTCGTTTTCTAATAGATACTTATGCAGTTACGATATAGCTGTGTAACACCTTT